GACTAGAGATTTAATTTACAGTAAGCAATTTGATCTGAGAACAATACCTTGTTACACAGTGGTAACGGAAAAGAATGTTATTGAAATAAGAGATCCAAAGGTTCAACTCCAATATTTTAACTTACTGTGTATTTTGTAGAGTTACTTACTTCTGAGCATAAATTTTCTGAATTACAGAATAGGAAAGAATAACACCCCATGTGACTATTGTGACTATTTGGCATTTTTATATATATATATATATATATATATATATATATATATATATTTAATATAGTGCACTGACATTTTTATATATATATATATATATATATATATATATATATATATATTCAACATAGTGTCTAGTATCATAACCGTTAGTTATTGCATAACAAATGAAGTTATTGCATAACAAATGAAAAATTTAGTAGCTACAAACAGCAATCATTTATTACCATAGCTTATGAATCATAAGGCAAGGGGTCAGGTGATCTCAGCTGGGTTCACTCAGGAATTTTTTGTCTTTGATGGGGGTCTTCTGATCTGGGACAGTCTTTACAGGAGTGAGTGTGGACACTTGGTTATATTCCACGTGTTTCTCATCTTCCAGAAGATATGTTCTCCTGACAATGGCAGAGGGACAGGAGAGCAAACAAAACACACAGTCTCCTGAGTCCTAGGCTTGGAAATGGCATGCTGCCGCCTCTGCCACATTCCATTGGCAAGTTACATGGAAACCAAGATAGAAGGATTGGGAAAAATAGACACTACCTCCTTCTTGAGAGGGAATAAAACGTCACATCAAAGGGTATGAATACTATGTTAAAAAAGGAGAAGAAGAAAAAAGAAACAGGCCCAAGGTGGAACCACTTGCTCCCAGGACAGCAAACCAAGATTTAATTGCAATGTTAAACTTTCCCAGGAATGGAATTTCTGAAATTTTCTCGTCAGCACTTGTGAGGCAACCTTGCCTGAAATCCCTTCTATTCTTTTGCTAATAACCTCCTTATCCTGCCTATTTCTATGAAAGCCTTCCATTTTATACAGTTCCTCAGAGCACCTCTCTATTAGGTGAGATGCTGCCCAATTCATGAATCATTTAATAAAGCCAATTAGATCTTCAAATTTACTCAATCGAATTTTATTTTTTTAACAACTGGGAGGTATAAAGAAATGGGCCCATTAATGCAGTCTGTCTCCTATAGTTATAGAGAAAGTGGTTCAGAAATGGTAATTACTATTCCTGCAGAAAATGGGTATTCAGTAAATTCTGCTGCTGCTGATAAATTTGGCAAATTGTTTAAACATTTTTCTATATTTCTATGAAAACTTACTCTGCTCCTTTAATTGGTATTTATCTTTAGAAGTGCATTTTTTTTTCTTCTTAGAAAATACTTGGTGCTGGTATATGAGAGGAAAAGTACAAACTCCTCCCTGCCCCCTCTCCAGGAAATGCAAATCAAAATCACAATGAAATACCAGTTCACAGGCACTAGGATGGCCATAATCAGAATGACCAACAGTAATGTGTTGGTGAGGATGTGGAGCAATTGTTGGTAGCGATGTAAAATGGTAGAGCTTCTTTGAAAAATACCGTTTAGCAATTCCTTAAGTTAAATGTAGAGTTACCATGTGACTCAGTGTATTAGTTTCCTATTGCTTCTGCAACTTATTACCACAAACTTGGTGGCTTTATGAATACAAGTTTATTATCGTAATCATTCTATAGATCAGGAATCTTGCACTTTTCTCACTGGGCTAAAATATAGGTGTTGGCAGGTCTACATTTCTTATAGAGACTCTAGGGGAAAATCCATTTCCTTGGCTTTTGCAACTTCTAAAAGCTGACTGCACTCCTTGGCTCATATCTGACCCTGCACACCCCCGTTCAAAACAAGTAATGTCAGATTGAATACTTTTCACATTGAATCACTTCAACATTTTCTGCCTCCTCCTTCCATTTTTATGGACTGTTGTGATTATGTGAGACTCACTTGTGTATTGTAGGACAATGGTCCCCAACCTTTTTGGCACCGGGAACTGGTTTCGTGGAAGACAATTTTTCCATGGGTGAGGGGTGGGGGAGGATGGTTCAGGCAGTAATGCGAGCGATGGGGAGCGGCAGATGAAGCTTCACTAGTTCACCCACAGCTCACCTCCTGCTGTGTGGCCTGGGGTAGGGGACCCCTGTTGTAGGATACCTGATTTCCTAATTTCGTGTGCAACCTGAATTCTCCTTTTCCATTTCTCCTAACAAATTCATAGCTTTTGGGGATTGAGACATGGAGGTACTTGGCAGACCTTCTGTCTACCACAGTTTCAATTCTACTCCTAGGTTCATACCCAAGAACTGAAAACATATATCTATATAAAAACTTGCACACAAATGTTTATAGTAGCATTATTCACAATAGCCAAAGAGTGGACACAGCCCAACTGCCTGTCCACTGATGAATGGGTAAACAACAACAATAAAAGAGGCATTGTCAATGTAGTGTGGCCTTCACATGAAGAAAAAAATCCCATTCAATGTTAGAAAAATCACAGAATGCTTCATGGGGGATGTGAAATTTAAGCTGAACCATGGAGGAAGTATAAGACAGAAACAGAATTAATATTTTTTTCTTAAACTAGATACAAATTTTAATTACAAGGTGCTATCATTCAAATTACTACTCCAGCAAGATTCTCTGCAGAGATTTGGTAGTATAGGTCATTATCCAATTTCAGTAGACATTTGTTTTCTCCAAGAGAGTAGTGTTTTATTATTCTTATCGATCAAATAAGATATATTTTTCCATGGTTGAGATGTATGGGATGATACATCAAGCCATAGCTGGTTTTGTTCATGAAAAGCATCTTAATCCTCTTTCCTTTAGGATTTAAAAAAGAGGAGAATAGTTATTAAAGAAAATATTCACAGAATGTACTCTTCATTCAAACTATACATTTCATGTTTTGATCACAATTTGAGTGTTTGCAAAAGCCTGTGGGTCTGATAAATGCAGCTAAATATTTATGCTTGACCTCTTTTTCTGCTACTTCCAAACAAGCAATAAGTTCAATCTCTTTACCTATAGGGACCAAATGCAGATTAATTTATCCATTACCCCTTATATTTTGGCTATTTTGAATGGTTCAGTTTTGTTCAGTTGTGTCTTTTCTGTAGCAATATAGCACATTTCTGAAAGTTCCAATTCAAATGAGAAAATCATCCAAGTGATTATCTTTGACATAAGCTTGAGAATCATGAGTATATGTGCCTTTCTCTGTAAGACAGACTTAAGCCTGAATTTATATATCAGGAGTTGGTAGTGACTCTATTTTGTTGTTTTTCTGCTTTCAGTGGTATTCAGTTTGAATCTTTTACTATTTGGTAAAAACGTCAAAAACCAGACTTTATGAAAATAGAGTTGGAGTAGTAAAAAGAGACAAGTTACTTGACAGTAAGGCAAACGGTAGAGATCTGAAGTAATTCATTGGTGCACTTTTTCTGTGGAAAGGAAACATTATTTCTGGCAGATTACCTAACCCTGCAGAAAATGCAGACCGTGTGTTTGGAATCCAAATGGGATTTCCAAAAATTCATCACTGAGGTTAGTTGAAGACATGCCTCATCAGTATTCAGTGCCTCTATCTTAAGATGAAAGAGAAGAAGCTCCTTGGGTGGAGAGAAAATAGAAGTTACTTTATCCGACAGAAAAAGCTGCCATCGTTTATTCATATCCAGCTCCCATTGACTTCAATCATCTTCATCCTCTCAGCA